ATGTTTTCAACTTGTTTTGGAATCAATTGGCTCCTTAGAGCACCAAGTTGAGACTTTGAATTGATTTGAATTCATGCATGCAACTCCATGTTCATGAAATTGGTTTGAAATTGAATTTGAATTAAACACCTTTAGGCTTTGATTTCTTAAAATTGAGCTTTGAACCATGTCATTCTATATGTTTACAAGTGTTTTTCTGGAAATTCAGCCCAAGAGGATCGATTTTGATGCTTTTGAACTTGGTTTTTGGCTTGGAGGTGTAATCTGAAATTCCCAGATTTTGCACTTTCGCTCGAGCGGGGAAATTGGCGCTCGAGCGTGGAATCCGAGCATCTAGTATTTCTCTGCACTGTTTTACAGTCCGCTCGAGCGGAGGATTGGGCGCTCGAGCGGAGATTTCACCCATCCAGTACTTTTTACAGTACGCTCGAGCGGGAAGTTGACGCTCGAGCGTGTACCCTTGTTGCATGTCCGCTCAAGCGGGTAAACCTGCGCTCGAGCGGGACTCTGTTTTCTTGAATATTCTGAAATTGCTTTTTGAGTACATCTTTGCATCCTCATCCCATTCTAGGCATTCTTAGGCCTAGTTTAAGACATCTTGTTGAGGATATAGATGTAGAACACACCGAGGCATTAGGGGTTAAGTTATTATCTTTCCCAGCTGTGTAGCTTAGTGTGTTCAATCTGTTAACTGTGTAGGGTTGGCGACTGGGGAGACACGCTCTAGCATACTGTAGCCCAAACTCTGTGAGTAACGATTGTGTAAAGATATGTTCACAAATGATTATCTTCTGAACAACTGAACTGTACTGTTTTCTGAACTGATTACTGTTAATTGAATGAATATATGTCCTATATTCTGAACTATATTGTGGCATCCTTAGCATCTACTGTTTACTGTTACTGTTACGGAGATCTCTGTCGGTTCCCTCACGAAACCACTACTGTTTACTGATTGATGACCATCATTACTGTTCGGTCTTTAAGACCTACTGTCTATTACACTGTTATGCTAATGGGTGTACCACATATGACTGTACTGACTGAACAACTGAAATACTGTTTAACTGAACTGTTTTCATACTGTAAGAACATTCATTCTTAACCTCTTTACGCATTATGTTATTTACTGGGCTTTAGCCCACTGTTTATATATATGTAGGTGCTCAGCCACCAGATCGGAGCTAGGAGCGTGGGTTAGACTCCAGTTTTGTCAAGCCAGCCTTTGTGCCTCACTGCGAGGTTTCGAGTTGCCATGCTATGGCTTTGGGGTGTTTTGTTTTTCCCCCGTCTGTCTCCATACTGTTTGGATTACTGTATAGACTGTCAGCTACTAACTGTACTGTTATCAGGGGATTAGGTCCCCGTACTGTGTGACTGTAAATTTTGTATAGACTGTACTGTTTGTATGTATGAATGCATGAAAATCTCTTTGGCATACAGACTGTCACAGCTCAATGGACATTATTTATTTACTGTATTGGCTTCCGCCGGGCCCTGAACTCTGTTTTACTGTACTAATGTTAAGCAGGCCTTTGGTAATCTCGGATTACTGGCCGGTTACGGTGCTAAACCCATAGGGCCGGGTTTGGGTCGTGACATATATGTTGAAATTCACTAAACTAATTATCTATTGAAATGTGACTCATGTCACTCATTCAACAACTTATCTGTTGAATATCACACATTTCTCTATTTCACCACCAACACCTACTACCGCCGGTCACCGCCACCAACGACTTTTTCGACGCTAACAAATTTTTCGGTGACTTTTTCCAGTGACCTTTTCTGACATGTTCTTATCACCAAATAAAATTTTCCTTCAATTTAATACCTTACATCCCTGTTGAAATGAATTTTTTATCAATTAACCCAACAAAATACCATTACAACTGTAACAAGGCTGCTTTAGTTTTGGTGACCCATTACAATCAAAAACTTTATTTATGGTAAATTAAGTATGAGTGAGAATTGCATTTCATACCACGACAATGACTTGTCGTTAGGGTTAAGCAAAGAAATAAATAAAAAAAAATTATAAATTAGTTCGATCCCAAATTAAATCACATGCTTTAATTTGATTTTCTCAATATGTGATTTAGTTCTAATTCTTAAAAGAGATGAACCATATTTTATGGTTGGATTTGTAATTTTATAATTACAAATTCAATTTGAAACTAACGGGAGGGTTTAAAATTTTATACACTCACAATTATATGACAATAGAGTTGAGTCCTATATTATTGAGTTTATAATAAATCAAAAATAGATATTTATCATATCATATCATATCATTGTGGATCAAATTATAAATAAAAATGAATCTTAAACATTTTCCATGAGTTTTTTTCCCAATAAGAATGGTTTATACATCACAAATGCTACTGTTCCATAAACACTACCCAGATTTTTCTGAATATTAGGTCGGTATGGTGGAGATTGAAATATTATAATGTTGAGTTTAAAAATAAAATAAATCTGAATTATAGATTAATATTTTTATGGTGGAGATTGAAATATTATAATGTTGAGTTTAAAAATAAAATAAATCTGAATTATAGATTAATATTTTTAAATAAAATGTAAGATAATTTTTTGGACAATATAGTGTTGCTGATGCAGCATTGAAGGAAGTGTAGTGCAGAAGGGGCACATTATTGGGACCATGACCATCCATGGTAGGGTCCCATCGCTCTGTCTCTACTTGGACTACTAGTGGTCTTCATTCATCAAGTCTTCATCATATGATCTAAACTTAAAACTCTATTTGGGCTTTTATTTGTTTAAAAATATATATATATATATATATATATTCATTTTATTTAAAGAAAATATTGATTTAGACTATTTAAATTAGAGGATTCCGTCCATAAATTTATTTTATGGACTTTTAAGGTTAGAAATATAGACGAGTTATGTTTGGGTTCATAAGGATCGTATATGTCTATTTTTTTAATTGTTTGGATCCGTCATGACAATATATATCCATTTATCCAAATTATGAGAGACAAAGTTAAAATATTTTAGATAGATAAAAAATAAATAAATACTAGAACAAATAAATTCAATTTAGACTGAAAAACATCGAAAAATACTAACTTTTTAACTTGATAAACTTTGTTTGTAGATACTAGAAAAGTCACATTTTTTAGTAATTTTTTTTCTGGGGGTCTTTAATGATATTTTTTTCAAAACTACTATTAAAAAATTACTTTACAATTTTTTTCTAGTCCATAATGATATAAAAAGTAAAACAACTTACAGAAATTTTAAAAAATAAATCACTAAAGACTAAAAAAAATAAATTTCAAAACTATACCTTTTTTTTGACAATATAGTGTTGCTGATGCAGCATTGAAGGAAGTGTAGTGCAGATGGGGCACATTATTGGGACCATGACCATCCATGGTAGGGTCCCATCCCTCTGTCTCTACTTGGACGACTAGTGGTCTTCATTCATTAACCCTTCAAGTTTTCATCATATGATCTAAACTTAAAACTCTATTTGGGCTTTTATTTGTTTAAAAAATATATATATATATATATTCATTTTGGTTAAGTTTGGAAAGTTTTAAAAAAGTCAAAAAGTTAAAAAATTATTCAAAAAATTAAAAAATTATCACTATTTACCAAAAGTCAACAATTACGACTGCACAACTTCCAATACTAATTTTCCCCTACATATTAATTTATACAAATTTTTAATACACATTTTTTTATAAAAAGTCAAAAAGTTAACCCAAACATTCATATTTTCAACCTCAACTTTTTAGTCTAAAAAAAGACAAAAAGTACACTTATTTAGGACACTCCAAACAATCCCTTTATTTGAAGAAAATATTGATTTCGACTATTTAAATTAGAGGATTCCGTCCACAAATTTAATTTATGGACTTTTAAGGTTAGAAATATAGACAAGTTATGTTTGGGTTCGTAAGGATCGTATATGTCTATTTTTTTAAATGTTTGGATCCGTGATGACAATATATATCTATTTATCCAAATTATGAGAGACAAAGTTAAAATAGTTTAGATAGATAAAAAAAATACTAGAACAAATAAATTCAATTTAGACTGAAAAGCATGAAAAATACTAACTTTTTAACTTGATAAACTTTGTTTGTAGATACTAGAAAAGTCACATTTTTTAGTAATTTTTTTTCTGGGGGTCTTTAATGATATTTTTTTCAAAATTACTATTAAAAAATTACTTTACAATTTTTTTCTAGTCCATAATGATATAAAAAGTAAAACAACTTACAGAAATTTTAAAAAATAAATCAGTAAAGATTAAAAAAAATAAATTTCAAAACTATACCTAAACATTTCTAATAGATGAAAATATTATTTATCAAACAAATCAATTTTTTTAACAATAATTTTACCTTAAAGAAAAAACATTTATCAAACTGATCCTTATTCGTGCTCTTGGCTTTTGTATAACTAAGGCGTTTGTAATTCGAAAAAACAAAAATAATAATATTATAAAAATAATGACAAAGAATATGTGTTATTTAAGTAGTAAGAATTTTGTTTAGCAAATCTATAGTCTTGGGTTTGAGCTGCATTCTCCTCTTTATATAATTTGACAACACCAAATATAAGAATATTTTGAAAAAAATCTAAAATATGAGACATTTTTGTGTTAAGGTATCTCAAGAATTCACATACTCCTATATAACAGTATTTTTAGCAATGCTATGTTCACCTAATTTAGCTCCTTGAATTGTTCGAATTTGTGTATGTTGGTCGTTTAAGTAATTATCTAGGCAAATGTCAATTGACACACTGAATAATAAGAGTGATAGCCGCAGTTGACAAGGATGATTGACAAGGGTGATGCCGATTATGTGACGTATGTAATTCGAATTAATCTAAATTTGATGGACCAATTATTTTTTAATATTTGTGTATCAACACCGTTTCTTTATTTTTTTAAGATTCATATATAATATAGAAAATATGGATACTATAGATGAAATGAAATTTCGTGTCAATTTTCCACCGTCACTGTTGTGTATGACTGTGGTCTTTAGTGGGGCGGTGTAGTTTGGTGGAAGTTAGGCGAAAATCAGGTGTGCTTCCCTTCACCCTTCTTCAATAAATGCCCCTTCTTTCATATTCTTCCCAGCTGTTTCTTATCAATTGTGAGGTGAGCTACACAATACCCACCAAAAACTCTTCCCTTCAATTTCTCTGATATATACCCATAAAACCCATCAATTTGATGCAGAAGTGATCATTTTTTTTTATCAAAGAAAGACAACCCACATCAAGTCATCCCCATATTTCTACGATCTGTTGTGTCACTTTCATTTTCTTGCTTCTTTTAGTTCTTTTCTTGTGTTTTGAAGAGAGGCAACTGTGAGTTTTGTCATTGATTTCCTCAAAGGTGTATTGGTTTGTTGTTATCGAAGTTCATTGATTCCGAGAATAATCTATTGGTCTATGTATTTGGACACAGCAAATTGATGGGTATTTATTAGTTTTTTTTCCTTTCCAAAACTTGTTTCAAGGACCACTTCAAAGCTCCGTGATTATCGCCAATCCAAAACACTCTTGCTTCCACCGACAGATCGTTCTTTGTAGTTTGTTGATTAAAGAAATTTATTTATTTATTTCCAATTTATATTTATCTATGCCCTGCCCTTGTTTGTATATGTAGCTGCAAAAAACACCATTGCTTCTTTCATTCCATTCCTTTGAGACCTTACTGAAAGACCCATTTGAGGTTTCTCTCAAATCCAAATGATTTTCTTTGTGATTTCTTGTTTTCCATTCATCCTATTGCTTTCCAAGTCTTTCTCTCTCAAGAGACTTCAAGCCTGGAATACTGGGATAAGGGTATCATCACTATCCTGGTTTTGGATAGAATTATCCCATTTTCTCAACTCATCTTTCACAAAAAACCCAATTGATATTACTTCTTTTGAAGTTTCCACAATCCCCCCACTGGTGAACCAATCTGTTAGTTCAGAACTAGAGAATATGGAGCAAGAAGAGGGGATTTCCTTGTTGGATTTGCCTGAATTGGCCTTAGAATCCATTTTAGAGCGGCTTTCAACAGCCGAATTGTGTAGTATGGCAAGAGTGTGCAGTGCTTTGAGAGATAGGTGTACTAGTGATCATCTATGGGGTAGACACATGAAACAAAAATGGGGTAATTTAATTGGTCAAGTTGCCTTTAGAGAATGGCAATGGCACATTGCCTCAAGCAATATACCGACCCTTGAGAATTGCCGAGAGAAAAAATTATTTCTTGGGTATGCTACAAGCCTCTGGCATATTTTGTGGAGTAGATCAAAATTGAGAACTAGTGGTGAGCCAGGGAGTTCATTACCGGTGGATTCGATCATGGCTCGGTACCTTGCTCTTGAGAGTGGGAAGTTCTGGTTCCCAGCTCAGGTCTATAACCGCGAGGTACTTGGCTTGAATTGTTGATATCAAATGCTATATAGTTCATGTTCATGACATTTTTATTGTTCCTATAGCTGTTGAATAAGCCACTGAATATCTTTTAATTCTTGTAAATTGCAGCATGGGAATATTGGGTTTATGCTGTCATGTTATGATGCTGAACTTAGCTATGATTCCAGCACAGACTCCTTTAAGGCAAGGTAAGAGCATGTTATTGCTTGCAGTGATTAGTTGAGTCTGTTTAGCAGCTGAAATATGTTGAGATCAACATGCCATTAAATTTTGTTACCTTCCAAGGTTTAGTATATGAAAATCTTAACCACGTTCTATCTCTTCCCATGAAATGTTTTTGGTGAAATTTTGAGGGGAGACATAGGTTCGTTCTGCCTATGATTTCAATTGATTTTAACACATTCAGAAGCCAGACAAGCTTGTTCAGTACCTTGTATTGAACTACGAATTAATTTGTTATTTTTAGGTACTCAACACATGGAAGACGAACGGTTGAGGAAAATATCGTGTGGGATAGACTAAGAGCACCGGCTGTCGATATTCCTGCACATGTCCTTCATGTCTCTGATTGTTTAGATGATTTAAACCCAGGAGATCATATCGAGATTCAGTGGAGAAGAAACCATGAGTTCCCTTATGGTATGTTTTCTGGACTATTAAGTGTTCCATAGGCTTCACTTATAAATTCCTACTTCTAAAGACACTTTTTTTCCCCTTCTTTTTCAAAGAACAATTGGATATTTCCCATGTAATTTGTCGTGAGATTTACTAATTAGTAATCATAGATAACCATAATAAACTGAACTCAATGGATTGCAGGTTGGTGGTATGGAGTTGTTGGTCACGTTGAATCATGTGAAGGGAGCAGAACCCATTGCCAATGTCACAATAGTGGTGAGAAGATCATCTAATTTTCAATATTACCACTTTTTCTTTGAGTTTGTAGTATGGGAGATGGATTTGAGCTTTACTTTCTTTTCAGTGAGCAAAATATCTGTCACAGAAAAACTAGAGACGTAAAAAAATTTGTTTGAAAAGAAAGCTTTGATCGCTGCTCAATACTGTAACATATGATCTTGTGACATACTTTTGCTTGAAAATGCTTGACAGGTTTACAAAACACCAATTTTTTTGCAGTATTTGTACACTTACTAACTAGTTCACCTTTAATAACACACTGCATGTCCTTTTGTTCGGAAATATTACTTTCTTTGTTGTTTAATAACATATGATGAGTTGAAGCTTATTGGTGAAAATTATGCTGTCACTAATTTGAATTCAGTAACTTTCATATAAACATGCACAATCAAAACACTTGGATTGAAATTAGGTGCCTGTGTGTTTTATTTATGTTTTAAAGGTATATAACCATAATAACTCTCGATTTGAAGAGTTGTCATGTGTGACATCTCGTGTTTGTGATGTCAATGCAAGACACACAAACTTAAATTGGAGTCTTCGTAAGATAACGACTTATGCAATTATGTTTCTTGCAGTACTTAGTTTACAATTGCCAGTTCAAGCAATTTTGACAAAACATAATCAATTATTAAAGTCTAGTTCCAGAGGGACTGAACATGAAGTAGTTTGTGTGAAATCCAGTACGGCATGTCAGTATTTGCCATGAACAGAAGCTTGGGCGTGTTCAGTTGTTTGCGTTTTCTGTTTTCATTTTCCAAAAACATTAAAAACTTGTTTGATGAACTATTTCCAAAGCAAAACTCTTTTGGGAAACACCTAAAAGATGTTTTTGAAATTCTGAGTTTTTGCACAAAATTTAAAAAATGATACGAAGATGATGATCTTTTTATCTTGTAGTTGCCGAAGGTAGTCTGCTTGTTAGATTGAATTTTTTAAGTTTTCATTATTTTGTATTTTTGTTGGGTTAAAAATATCTTGTTGGAGAAATGAGAACACAATCAAACATGACGGTCACAAAAATCAAGGGTTGTCTGATATAGATATGATATGAATTCCTGGCATAATGAAAGGCCCAGCTTTGGAGTATTCTTCTAATCATGGGATATGCTTGTATTGATGCTTCCCGGAACATCTTCTTAACCTTTGCATATGTCTTACTTGGTCAATCCCCCACTCGGCACCCCACCGAAAAAACAAGAAAGAAGAAAGAAATCATTTTTAGTTATTAATAATTATAAATGAGCTTCTTTTGCATAATTTAATATAAGTCAGTTTTTCAAATGTCCTGGTCGGGTGAGAAACCAATTGATTTACGTAGTATGTGTGTTTGTATTCCACAGCAGTAAGAAATTTTCTTATTTTATATATTAATATCTATCATGTTGTTAATAATTAACTTTAGTTTGATTTGTAGTTGGTTATATTCTCACAAACCACCTCATGTTGACAGACACGGTAATACTGGAGTTCAAACAGTACACCCTGGGGTCACGATGGAGGACAGTGGCAATAAATAGGAAGCACCACAGAGAAGTAGGCAATGCAGTCGATGGCTTTTATGGAGGAATCAGAAAGCTTTACAATGACAAAGAGATCTCAATTTGGCAGCACTTGTGGCCAACCAAAGTCTTGGAATAGTACCCAAACAAGGCACGGCTTCCCTCACCACTCAAAGACTCCTCTGTAAAGATAAGTGTTTTTATTGGTTCCCCTTTTTTTGGTGGGTGTTAATAGAATCTCGAGTCATACAAGTGGTATCCAGGAGATGTAGAGTTTTGGCAAGGTGTATAAAGAATTTTGAGTCGTACAAGTGTTTTCTAGGAGATGATATCATCAGACTTCAGTTTTCCTGTGGTAGATTCCGAGCCCTCAAATGATACACGGATAGAATGTACGAATATAACATGAAACATGAACTTCTGGTAAACTGTCTGCTGCAGATTATTAGTTTCCCTGTTGAGTAAGAACATCTTGTTTCAACATATGGCTCTATTTTATTTTTTTATTTTTCTTTTTTAATATCCTGCTGATATAGATGGATGTGTATCAACGAATTCTTTGAAGATTTGGTTATTTTGTTGATCAACCATGTTACATTCCACCAATATAGTACCCTTAATCTGCTCCTAATGATGTCGAAGAGAGAGAAAAGAGAAATATAGAGAGAGAGGAGTGTGGGTTCACCCCTTCAGATGGTCCATTCTATATCATTCCCAAACATTTTTCTTTGTTGATAGTGTGTGAAAAGATTTGAATAGTCTGCTGCGGACTTACCTTGTGGCAGTTTTCTTTAAAACGTTGCTATAATTAATACTTGAATCCATGCTCTAAGCTCTACTCTTGACGGCAGAAATTGGTTTGATTGTGTTTTTGTTTTTCTGTTTTCATTTTTTAGAAAATACGGAAAACTTGTTTGGTGAATTGTTTTGGGGAAATTATTTATGTAAACAACCCATTTTTAGTTGGATTGATTACAACTTGTAGTTGATGAGAAAAATCCACTTCAGGTGTTTCTCTTTGGTTTTGACTAGGAATGTGCTATATGTTCAATGAAAATTATAGAACAGACACAATCAATCATACAGGCTTTGATTATTCAACTTGGTGGAACTTGAAGCAAATGGGAAGCCTATAATTTGGGAACTTTTTAGCTTTTTTACACAAAAAAAAGTCACAAAAAAAGCTAATTTTTTTAGCCAAAAAAGCTACCAAAAAGTTAAAAAACTTAAAAACTAACTTTTTACTAACTTTTCAAAACACTACCATAAAAAATAAAAAAAAAAAGCCATTACCTTGTTTGCTTCTTTTCCATTATCATATTATATTTGAATAAGTTAAATGATGTTGATTGATTGATGGGGAAATATCATATAAATGAGATATGAGACAAATAAATGCAAATTAGTGGAAACATTTTCCTGTGCAAGTGATTATTGTGCTTGGTGCTAGTGTGAATTGTGCTCGATGCAACTAATTTGCAATTAGCTTTCTCATTTCTTATTTATTTGATATTTTCCCTTGATAGAATGCAACTTGTAGGAGGGGGTTCAAGAAAGGAGTTGGAAAATTCAAAGATCGAATTCTCTAGAATATGATGAGAGGCTTAGATTCTTCAATAATCTCAACTTAGGAACACGACAACAAAGGAGATGATGGAGATAAGAGATTGGGTGAAGAAGAAGGCAAAATGGCTAGAGAATAGAATAAAAAATGTCTACTTTTCATTTTTCTTATTTATTTATTTTTTTTTTTTTTCAGTATGCTCTTCTGCAATCAAATTGGCGTAATATATTTGATGAAACACCAATAACAAGAAGGTATCATAAATATGAGTTCTAAAATTTTGAAAAGGAATGGTCTACTTTTCATGTTTCTTTATTTTTATTTTATTTTTTTGTGTTTGCTCATTTGCTATCAAATTGTCATAATATATCTGACAAAACACCTATAATAAGAAGATGCCACGAATAAAAAGAAGAGTGCTGCTATTAATATTCCATAAATTATTTTGGACTCTTCAATTTTTAACTTTTTCTTTATTACAATAATAATCTCAAATAAAATTATCACAAAAGATATCATTAATTTTGAGACATTTCATCTCACAATTAAACCTATATACCTATTATATAATGAATTAGAGTTTATGAGAGCACCCATCTTCATCACCACCCATCCATCTTTCTCAAATCTCACTTTCAAAACCTACCCACCCTCAAAATCTTGAAAACCCTTTGACGGCAATATTCTGGCAGTAATGGTGGCAACCATTTGATTACCTATACTTTTCCGGCTATGACAATGAATGAAAATTTTTCTAGCAATCACAACTCCATAAGACGAGAGAAATACGACAATAAAAGCTTAGAGGAGCTTCATAACTTTGATGTTGTTCTTAGCTCAAGGAAGATTGATCTTGTAAGGGTAAGTTTTTTAAAAAAAATAACAAAAAGAATAAAATATGTTGGTCATATTTTGGGACTAAACTTCCAAACATATGACCGAAATTCGGGAACATAGGCCCAAAAATTATTTATTTGTTTTGGAACCGATAACCGAACATTGATTTTAAACATTTTGTGATCTGGGATGAGTCCAGAATGAAGAAAATTCGAAGAAGTGAGCCATTTTGAGAACTGAAAATTGGAGATTTTAATCTCCGAGAAGTGATTGTGTGATAGGTTAAGATAAGTAAGATTGGTGACAACCATAGACAAGTTTTGTATTAGAACATTCCCTAAAAGATTGTTGTGTCTCAAATCAAGAGCTTTGATTTAAGAATAATGAAAAGTATTAGATGAGAAGTTGGTTAAATCGGCAGAGACAATATTTTTATTTTCCTTCTTCTTCTTCTTGGGTTTTTAAAAGGATGAGACTCTTCTTTTTCTTGGTGGATTTTTTGGAAGGGAGGTTTTTTGGAGGTGTGGGGATATGCATTCAATGGGTGAAATATTTAAGGATAATTTTGATATTATTTGGGGAGAAAAGAAATTTTAAGAATTTCAAAATTTATAAGTAAGGATCCAAAAAAATGGAAAGTCCAAAATAATTTATAGAATGCTAATAGCACCACTCTAGAAAGAATCCTCTTCTGACTAAAAGAAACCAAACACAACACACCTTGCCCTTACTTCTTGCCTTCAAGATTTGAGGATCAACATAGATTTTTAAGATAAAGCAATCCCAGCCATTGATCTTTTTCTCTCCAACAAATTTGCATAGAAGGATCGGGAAAAGATAAAAAATTTTGATGATGAAAAGATATGTTCCATTAATAATGTAAGTTCAGTTGAGACTATTCGAAACTTAGAAGCTATTCTTGTGAACCATTCTTTTGAAACTTGAGAAAGAGATTGAAAGGCAATGCAGAAACCACAAAATATGTTTGAAAAAGAAACAAATGAATTTAAAGAGGTATAAGGATGCTAGTGTAGGAGAAGAGTCATGGTTTGTGTATGTGTAATGAGAGTGAGGTCGTGTATTGGAATAGAATTTTCATTGATTTTTACATAATGAAAACAATGAAGTGTCATTGTTACAGATTAGATAAATTTTCAATTTTATCATTTTTGGAGCTTTAGTTGGAATTTTTAGTGCTAAATTGAAGTTAAGTTCCCAATTTTTGCAGTTGGCTTTCAATTCTGTAATATTAGCTCTAATCAAAAAAATTCACTCTTTTGACCAGTGACAATGAAATTTCGTTGTCTTGAGAAAATAAAATTTCACAATTCAAAAATAGAGAGCACCATGAAATTTAACCTCAAATTTTTTTTTTTTTTTTTCGTTTCTTTAGAATTTTATATTCTTTGTAGGTCGTGTTTGAACAATAAAAAAAAAATTAAAAATTAAAAATACAAATTTTATAAAAAAACAAAAATGTCAATCAAACATTAACCTTGTTTGGTTTAAGAATTTTGAATTTACTTTTTTGAAAATTGAATTTTTTTTTTTACCAAAATTTAAAAAAATATTTTAAGCAAATTTTTTAACTTTTAGATACACCTAACATAAATACACCTAAAAAGTATAATATTTGTAGAAAGAATCTTTAAAAAAAAATCATGAAATATTAAAAATACATATAAAAATTCAATACATTTTGTATTCTTGTGTATTTATTACTTTTTATGTACATCTATGTTTGTTGCATCTAAAAAGTAAAAAAAAAAATTAAAAAATTAAAAAAATTCACTAAAAACAAAATGATGAAAAACAAAAACTCAATTTTCAGAAAATTTGAGTTTAAAAATTAGAACCAAATAAGGTAACTCAATTTAATGGAAATGTTTTGGTGGGCAAGATGCATACTATATGTACTTGTGCAAGTTCTCACAAATATACATAAGTTACCTCACAAAATCGCTTAAGTTTTCACAAATATACAGAAATTGTGATTTGTCAAATATTTATGGGTTAACTTATGTATATTTGTAGAAATTAACACAACTTTATGAAATAATGTACGTGTCACGACCCAAACCCGCCCCTATGAGTTTAGCACCGTAATCGGCCAGTAATCCAAGATTACCGAAGGCCTGCTTAACAGTAATACAGTAATACAGAGTACAGGGGCTGGTGGAAGCCAATACAGTAAATAAACAATGTCCAATGAGCTGTGACAGTCTGTATGCAAAAAGACTTCTCATTCAAATATACACAGTTAGACAAAACAGTATATACATATATACAATCATTCAGTACAGTACAATCTATACAGTCGAACAGAACAGATACAGAGACAGACGGGGAAATTAAAAACCCCTAAGCCCTAGCATGGCAGGCTCGGAACCTCGCATTAAGGCACATAGGTTGGCTTGACAAAACTGGAGTTAATCCCGACGCTTCTAGCTGCGGTCTGGTGCCTGTACACCTACATATATATATGAGCAGTGAGCTAAAGCCCAGTGAATAACACAATGCGTAAAGGGGTTAAGAATGAATGTCCTTACAGTAATGAAAACAGTCCATTAAATCAGTATTTCAGTCAGTACAGTCATATGTGGTACATCCATTAGCATAACAGTACAGTAAACAGTAGGTCTTAGAAGACCGAGCAGTAAATGATGGCCATCAGTTAGTAACAGTAGTGGTTCTAACGAGGGAACCGACAGAGATCTCTGTAATAGTATCAGTAAACAGTAGGTGCTAAGGATGCTACAATACAGTTCAGAATATAGGACATACATTCATTCAATTAACAGTAATCAGTTCAAAAAGTAGTACAGCTCAATTGTTCAGAAGATAATCATTTTGAACATATCTTTACACAGATGTTACTCACAGAGTTCTGGGCTACAGCAAGCTAGAGCGTCTCCTCAGAAAGCCAATCCTACACAGTTAACAGATTGAACACACACTAAGCTACATAGTCGGAAGAGATAGTAATTTAATCCCTAATGCCTCGGTGTGTTCTACATCTATATCCTCATTAAGATGCCTTAGACTAGGCCTAAGAATGCCTCGGATGGGATGAGGATGCAAAGATGTGGTCAGAAAACAGTTTCAGGATTTTCAGAAAACAGAGTCCCGCTCGAGCTCAGGTTTCCCCGCTCGAGCGGACATGCAACAAAGGTACACGCTCGAGCG